AATGTTGTGTTCAAGTCATACTTGCATGTGATTTCAGACTGAAAATTCATAATACCATGGTAAAAAATATAGAGAGTATGTCACAAGTTGTTACTGAACGAATGTGCGAATAAAAAAAAACAAGCTTTGCCATCGATCTCAGTGTAGATAGATGTCTGATAGACATTGTGAAATTACAGTTAGGCCGTTCACAATATCTGTTTTTTGTTGTACGATATATTGCACCAAAATATATGAGAGGGTGCTCGCTGCAGAGCCATTTGAGGAGAGGTGAGCTCCAGAGAGGGGGAGCATGAGCTGTCGCTCCCCCTCTTGTAAGCTGTTTTAATGCGTACACCAACCCCACCCCTAACCCTACCCCCAGTGACATCACTCGTAGAAGAAGTGCAAAAAAGGTGGAGCTCAAGCTTAAGCTCCCCCTCTCTGGAGCTCACCTCTCCTCAAATGGCTCTGCAGCGAGCACCACTTGAAATATATTGCGATAAACAATATTATTATAATTTTAATACTATTTTATGCCACTCATTATATAATGCCAGAATGACAATATAATATCATCACAATGCAAGTACACATTTTTACTATTTAATAATTAGGCACTGGAATTAAAATGGAAAAACCCATATACCTAATAAATAATAATAATAATACATTTTTACAAAAAAAAGCAGGGTTAAAGGTAACAGAGGCTGCGAAATTTGCCACCAGATCTGTTTTCGGTTGTTATGCACCCACATGAAAATATACTACAGTCATTTATTGTAAATACTATAGTGTTTTTTGTTTTTTTTTAACCTTACTGACACCTCCAATAGAGAGAGAGATGTTGCACAATCAGCTAAAATGTTGCTGAAGTTGGATTTTATTTAGTGATATATGTTGCATCACCAAAAATAATTGAGGTCATGCCCATGTGTTGTGCCATAAGTCCATATATTGATTATTGTAACAGGTCTATAGGGTGTTACTACTTTTTGAACACCACCTGACTTAAGATTTTAGTTGATTTTAGGTTCTTACGGATGCTGGGCATTTTTGAAAAAGCTTGAGTTTTAATCCTTGAAAAGTGCTTAGATTTTGGGTAAAGAGCCTAGCAACTGCTTGAAAATATAATTGTGTTGCTTCCATAATAATTTGCTACTAAAGAGGTAATAACCTATTTAAATATAATAAATATTTTTGCATTTACATTAAATGAAACCGGAGCAGACTGTGCATTTGCCTGTAGCATAATCTCTCATGTTTTTTTTTTTTTACATTTAATATTACTTTTAAGAGAGTAAATAACAGTGATTTAAATTTTGGGTTTGGGCAAAAAAAATCAACAAACTTTTTCATGAAGTTAATTGTTTTTAACCACTGATATCAATAAAGAACCTTTATTTTTTAGTGTACTTTGTAATCACATCTAATTACTATTTTGTTGTACGCTATAGACAAAAACTAGAGTAAATAAACTAAATTAACTCATTTGGTTTGAGTTCTGCTTATTATTATCAGTTTATAAATTACCATAACTGTTTAATTCATCAAGTCAAAGTAACTTAAAAAAAAAAAAGGAGTTAAACTTGTTTCATTTAGTGATTTTTCACTGTTAGGTTTTACAGTGTGTTTATTTAACACCTTTTAAACGTTTTTTTCCAATCAAAGTTGTCATGACAAATTAATAAATTAACTAAAGTGTTTTAAATTTAAATAAATATTTTTGCGTTAACTGAGTACTAGAGACCGTACAGACTGCATATGCCTATAGCATAATCTCTCTTCTTTTTTTTTTTACATTAACATTGCATTTATTAAAGTAAATAATCGTAATTCAATGTTGGGCTTAGGGCAAATTTAAGGCAAAAAATCCAATTTCCTCTTTAAAATACTATGCTATACTACAGAACACTAGAACAAATAGCGTCTGATATAATGTAGTTTGACGTATGTTATAGTGTTGTCAAAAATATCAATTAGGGCTGCACAATACATCGTTTCAGCATTGATAACGCAATGTGCACATCTGCAATAGATATGCAATGTTGAGCCACAGAACATATCTGATTTGTAGAGTCACTGCTTATTTTAACTATAATAGAGTAAAGGTTTATCATTTGCATGTGCTTTTAAAGCATTTGACTGAGCATTTCAAGAATGTTTTAAAATGAGAAGATGTTTGGAGATGTTTGGAGGTGTATTATTTATATGATTTATAGAAGCAAAAAAAAGATTTTCTTATTGTCTTGTTCATAGTCCAAACATATACTGTACATTTCAAAACAAAATTAAGTTTATTTTAATTACCTCATTGGCCGATAATTTAGCTTGTTTTGAATGAAAAAAATACTAATTTTGACTTCTTCTGAGGGCAAAAACAAAACAGTATTTTTTTTTTCTCGATATTTGAACAAGAAACGAGACAAAGCAAAATAAGAAGAAATTATTCCATTTCTGTACCTGAATACTGTTAGACTTCAGAAAACTGTCAAATAAAGCTATTCAAACCATCTTGTGAAACAGTATACATATAAGGGTTGGGCGATGTTGACCAATTTGGCATCGTACGATGTCTAATGTGAAATATCACAATGGACGATGGCATCGTCATCATAGGTTTAGGTGAATTAATTATTTATGAATAATTAATTGATTCATTACAAATTAATTATTTGTAGCCTACCGTTTTAACTACCTGACCCGCATGGTCTTTGTTCTACCCATAAACAAATCATAAATAAATAAAGATAAGTGGCACACAAACACCACCAGTCAATCACTTTTTCCGCGAGAGGTTGGTCGGTAAAAAAGTTGCACACAACCAACAGTATCTGATGTTTTATCTAAATTACTAAATAGTGTGAAAGTGAAAGACTGAAGCAGTGTACTGATGCTGTGACGCGTTACCTGATAGATTTAAACGATTGAATAGTCGTGAGAAAAGATTAATTAAATATCACGTTTAACAACAATAGTGAGACGCGATCCCGCGGTACATCCTTGATAAACTGTCCGACGTGCACTGCTCTCTGGAGCTCCTCAGACTAGTGTGTGTCTGTGTGTGTGTGCGCGCGTGTGTGCGCCTGTGTGTGTGTGTGTGTGTGTGTGCGCGCATGTGTGTGTGTGTGTGGTCACGTGATGTGCATTTTCAGTGGTCGAAGGGGTGTTCAGAAATGCTAGGTAAAACATGGTGTGGATGTGTTCAGACCCCACTGCGTTCACCGCATCAGCTAAACTTTCTCACTATATTTTTTATCTTTGTTATCAATTCCGGAAGACAAACTTGCAAATAAGTTTTTTCCAGTCTACCTCCGATAGAAGCACCTCCAATTCACATTCTGTGAAGTTTCTCTTTTTGCTTGCTTTTACCATTGCTTTTTCATTTGGTTTTGCCAAAGTAGAATCATTACCATATTTAATAGGAGGAGGAGGCAGGGAGGGGCACGCGTGCTCAGTTTCACGTTAATTCGGATATACAAAACGGTATGAATTTTTCACGGTATGATAATCGTCTAAAACAATACTACGGTTTGACGGTTTCGCGGTATACGGTATGTTACAAATGTTACAAAATAATAGAACAGTGAAGCAAATTTGACTTTTTCCAAATAATATATTTTTAGTTACTATAAACAACACCACTTACAATGAACAAATAAAAATAAGAAAATAATAAATATTGTGTCAAAGTCCAAATAAAGTCCAAATAAACATGGTGCAAATCCTCAGTAAAAAATAGATATAAATATTTACTATACTCTAAATAGTTACATAACGAAACTAGATTCAATATGGAACATCCTTAGGTTTTATGTGCCAGCATGGATATGGTTGTCTGAGGATATGGATTTGGATATGGTTGTCTGCAATGCAGACTGACAAACCGCTGCATCTTCATTTGCGTCTTTTGAAAACAGCAAGAGCAGCAGTTCGTCTTTGCTGTGTCACTGTTTTGTCATGTTTCTGTGCTGCTGTGCATGCAAAAGTACTTAGTATGAGAATTATTTCATGCAAAACTTTTTTTTTTTTGCGTTTTATTTAGCCGCGCATAAATGTATGCCTATCTCTCATTCCGTGTTGTTCAAAAAGCTTGGTCCACAAACAAAAGCGAAACCTATGCTTATTGGTTGTGATATAGCGAGTTTGAACCAATCTGGGCATGGAGGAGGGACAATGCATCAATGTATCATGTCTGATTTGTCCGGAGACACAGTGACGAGCGTTTCTTTGTCAAATCAGCGTTGTCAAATGTTGATGACGTAACCGCACTGATTCCGGAGCCTCTGAAAGTCCGCGAATGTTATGTGATACAGCACTGGAAAGCTGAGATTCTCTTCTTTATGCCAATCTTTGAATTGTATGAATCGGATCAGCGGATCAAAAGTTATTAAACATTTAAGAGCAATACTTATTTTTAGCCGCGGGCGGCTGTCTCGGTCTTTAAGGGTTAAAACCGTTGATATGCAATTGTTCATGGTATGATAATCGTGCACGTTCAAATCGTGGTAAACCGTCATACCGGTATATTGTTACAACCCTAGATTCAGCGTACATCTACAGCTTTGTCCGTCTAATGTTTTGTATGAATTCAACGCAAGTCTTTTTGCATGAGGCCCCTGATGTTTTGTAGTTAAGAACTGACTGAAGACTGTTTTAGTCCAGATGTTCTGCTGTCCCACAGGTGTGCTGTTCTGCCTGAGGAAATCACTGTTAGTCATAATGATCTAATGCAGAACACTGTGAGCTTTGCTTGGTTATAGCACCGGCTGCGGCTCTGAGCTCCTCGCACAATCTTTTCTATTCCTTGAGTTGTTGCCATGGATACAGGAAGGGAACCCCAGGATATAATGAACAGTAGATTCCATACAAGGAATGTTTATCCTAGAAAAAAAAACCCTGCTGCTAGAGATCTATCAGCAGAATCCTCATCTTCTTGCAGTTGGTTTTCTCTGATTCATGGACACTCCAGAGACTTGTTTGCTGTTTATCAATCCGTTTCTGTCCTGTGTTTCTCTCAGGTTTCTTTCCTGTGTGTTGCTGTACCCTGAGGGTCCGACCCTCCTCGTCCTCTCCCTCTCTCTCCGCTGGACCCTATGGAGGAGTAGCTCTTGAGTGACAGGCACAAGAACCAATCGAACGGCAGGAGGAGAGTCAGACTGCAGAGAGGATGTCGTCTAACCGGACCCAGACCCCTCACGGTCTGAAGCAGATCGGGCTGGACCAGATCTGGGATGATCTGCGTGCGGGGATACAGCAGGTGTACACCCGCCAAAGCATGGCCAAGTCACGCTATATGGAGCTCTACACGTATCCTTCATCATAGATATATGCTAATATTCAGCAATAAATGTGATAATCAAAATGCACAATATTGATATTAAGAGCACTTCAAGACACTGTGAATAATTATTAATTCAACTATTAGTGTCTCAAAGGAACACTCCACTTTTTTTTGGAAATAGGCTCATTTCGCAAGTGCTCCAAACCGTTGAGTTTTACCATTTTTTTAATCAATTCAGCCGATTTTGTTAGTAGCACTTTTAGCTTAGCTTAGCATAGATCATTGAATCGTATTAGACCATTAGCACCTCAATCAAAACATTTTTTTAAAGTTTAAATAATTTTCCTTTTTTGACCCTTCTGTGCATATATTGTATTCTAAAATGGAGAGAATTGCTATTTTCTAGGTCAATATGGCAAGGAACTACAGTACTGTGCAAAAGTCTTAGGCCACCACTAGCTTTGGAAGGCTCACATCGATCAGCTGATTTGTCTATAAGCTGACATACAAGCTATCCGCTGATAAATTGAGGCTCTGAATTGCTCCAGTGTCCCTGTATCTGTGGTTACAGTCAGTGAACAGCGGTGAATTCGGTTAACCTTCACGGCCAATCACAGTCCTCTCTGTCAAGCACCTGAACACATGCCTGTCAACCCTTTCGTTTTTCCCGGAATTCTCCCGTATTTTACAGTTCTATCCCACTATCATCCCGTAAAGGTATTTCCCCATATTTCTCCTGTATTTTCAGTCTTTCTCTGAAGGATGGCAATAAACATTAAAGAGTCAAGCCTCCCTATACGCAACCCATACCGCCGAACCACCAGGGGCCGCCACTTGCTTTTAAATGTGAGACTTTTCTGTGCTTTCGCTTAGTTTAGTTATATAAAAACCGCGGGATTCCCTTTCCTTTTCATTACATGTGCCGTCTCCCCTTCATATGCAATCTTCAAAACGGTCATATAGCGGTGCATAACTGTCAGCTGATGTGCTCCTTAGTGATAAATGGACACTGTTTCCCAAACGAATTCTGTACACGCAATTTGGAGCGGGTTTTGATTGCGTGTTTGAACAAACATATACACATAATTAATAATAATATATAAAGATGTCGATCTTGGTGTTTTTTTTTTTAAACCCAAGTAATTTCGTTCTAAATGAGCATAAAAAGTTAGGAAAGCAATCGAATGCTTTTATAACGTTAGATGTGTGCATTGTTAAAGTGATGCCAGTTATTTAATGTAATCAAATGTAAAAAATCTAAATAAGAGATTCATTCGTTGCTCTTTATTCAGAATGTGTAACGGCTAATGAGATTTGATAGTTTGATTCTATTTCTTTATAATATCTATTAATTTTAATAAGCTGACCTGTTTGCTAATTTATTTGCTGCTGATGTGTACTATTTATTTTTTCTTTTGTAAATAATAATAATAATAACATATTACTGATCATTTAACTGTTAATTTACAATTAAACCGCTCCAAATATTTAGCAATTTGGGGATTTTTAAAAGGTTTTTTTTAATCCCTTATTATGGTGGGCATATCTCTTATTTTCACATCCCAATGTTGACAGGTATGCCTGAACATAATGGCAAATAAGCGCTGTTTAAGAATGTGCTTAAATGTTAGCGGGAAATGGGCAATTTAAATTTTTTTAGTACCGATTGGTATTGAATTCCAGTATCGCAACAACACTACTCTGTACAGCAAAGTTTTCATTTGTTAACATCAGTTAATTTAACTAAAGTCTATGTAGTGACAACTACAAAAGCATTTATTAATCTTAGGGTATTTTCTTAATTATGACCTAATAATGCCTTTTTTGAAATTAAATGGAGGTAATACCTAATGAAATTTAATTGTATTTAATCTCACTGTTGATTTCAATGCATTAAATAAAGTTTACTAATGAGACTTTATTATAAAGTGTTACCTAGCGCTGCACGATGCAGGCTGAAATGAGAATCGCAAATTATAATTTTTTTATTTTTTTTGCTTTATTTGCATCATGATTTTCTCGCGATTCTATAGATGTAAAATAATGATTATTATGAGTGGGCTATTATTGTTGTTATTTTTTAAACATATGGTAAAACAGCAATAGGCTATGTGTAGATCTATTGTTGGTTAAAATGCTTGGACTTGGAATGGTGGACTTGAACAGACTTTAAATTTGTCCTGGTCATTAATGTACAGTAGGCTTGGGCGGTGTCCAAATTTTGAGACCGTCAAACCGCCTCCATATTTTACCCCGGTATCCGGTATTACCGGCGTAATAAAAAAAATTATGACGTAAGGCTCAGACAGCGTCACCAAACTGTTGGCTTGAGCCTAAACCATTCAGAAACGGAATACCTTCTATGCGACCTTAGGCAGAGAGAGAGAGAGAGAGAGAGAGAGAGAGAGAGAGAGAGACTTTCTCTGTCTTACACAAACACACACACATCTCTCCCGCGATTTATTCAGAAATTTACTCCCACACCGTAAGAAATCTGGCCGGCTCCCGCGGGAATGCAGAGAGCTGTAATCGGGCCATAAAAATTATACCCGATAGGTCCCGAGTCCGACACGTACATTTTGATTGACAGCTTTATAAAGCCCGAGCCCTTACAGCTCTAATGTATTTTTTCAAGAATGAGTCATTTATATGTTTTAACAGCATTTATTCGTAACAAACGTAGACTATATCCCACTTGAAAGTTGGAACAAATAAATAAAATAAGTCCTCTGTAACATCGTAACATCTCAGCACTCTATAGGTCTACATGCACTTAGCCTTTAAATTGGCCAACACACCAATGAAAAGAAATCTTGCTTAACAAATCAAATAAACTATAAATGATGACGGGTATTTTGGCAGTAACTAAATTGAAGCTGAATATTAAAAGAATAATGCCACCATTAGTCTGTATACTCTGTCTACATTATGATTATATGGTTTAATTAATATTTATTTATAATTTAAAACCCTACTCACCAAGATTAGGCTACGTGTGTTTGTGGAGGAACATTATTAAATCCACTGGCTTTAGCGCAGTCTTGCGCTCATGTGCGTCCAGCAGCTGAACACCGTTTCACTGCTACTGCTACAGGCCGAGATGCAGAGTTCTGATCTGGCTGATTTTGCAAGTTTTAGGTAGGATTGTTTATTCATCTTATACCAGTCAGGAACATCCATTTAATTTCCCATGACCGTAGTTTCAGGGTAGCGAGTGGCTTCGTCATTTTACCTGTCAGCTTGCGGTTTAGGGCTCTACCGTAATACGCAGTGTATGAGCGACCGCTAAATACCTGCGGCTGGAATAACCGCTCTTTCTGACTGGCTTGACCGCCGTCAAAATTCTCTTTTTTTACTACTTCGTCATAATTTGCTTCACCTTTGCAGGGATGGATTTTAATGCAGGGATTTGGATTTTTTCGGGTCTCGCCGGGTTCGGGCAAAGATCTTCAGCTCTAATGCAGACCTCTCGTTCATATTAACCACGTCTCCCTTCTGTTCAGTCTAAACTGCCAAACTGCAGGACACTTTGAAGCGCGACTCGTCACGTCACGTCTCCCTGTCCCTCTCTCCCTCTCCCCCTCCCTCTTCCTCTATCTCTCTCCTCCACACTGTCCCGTGATGACAACCACACACACGTTTTTTAGGCATTAAATAAAGGATATTTAATACTTTATGACGGTATAACGGTATTGAAACTGACACCGTTGCTATTTTTAGATCCCGCGGTATACCATAATACCGTAATATCGCCCAAGCCTAATGTACAGTAAAGTGATGCATCAGAATACAACTATTCATAATTCTGATGTTGAATTATTATGTTTGAGAAATATGCTTGCAATTTGTCATTGCCAACATTATTAGACCATTTTTTACTACTGGTAAAATCAGACATTTGTCATCATCGTATTCCCTCTTGCATTTGTTATCAACATCATATAGGCTAGAGTAGTTATACTGACACTGTTAAGCATTTATTTTCATGCACAACACTTTGTGTTCGCTATGAATGAAAAAAAAACATATTTGTTGTCGTAATCATAACTCCAAAATGCCTTATGATTATTTAAATGATGTGCATGCTTGTGCTGTTCATACTTCCTGCGCCGCTCCCAAACGATCACTCTGTGCCACAAACTAAATGTTATTTACAACTTTATTACCTGTTATTCACTGCCTATGCAGATTCTGTGCACTAAAGTAGACATCATTCACAGGCGTGCGCCCGCCCTCTCTATGGTGACAGCTGATGGTCAGCTCACGTCACCTGTGATTTCGCGGTCGTGAATACATTATTACATAAAGACAGAAAATAAAATTTTTGGGCTGAATTATACCTTATAAATACAGTATGGGTCTCTTTTAACACCTCTGGAGATGTCCACATTGATGAGTAACGTACTGTAAACAATGTAAGGACTTGTGCGGCCGCCTTTGCTTCTCTCCTGAACTTGAAAATATGATTGACAGAATTGTAGAAATGCTGGATTAAGATCGTCTAGGGGGTCGAATCGAAATCACGACCTTTTTCCGATTAATCATGCAGCTCTAGTGTTACCTATTGTACTCCATTATCTTCTTTCAATTTATCAGATTAAAATATTTATTTACATTATACAATAAAGCAATACACTACATAACATCTTTTTTCCAGCTTAGGTTAATATTGTGATAATGCTTTATACCATAATAAAAACTTTAGCAATTAATTACAAGAAGTAAATTTGATTCCTGCAGAAGCCTATTTATTTCATTGTAGTATTTTTATATTTTGCTGAAAGAAGTTTTCCGGTGTCTTGTTGTGTCCTTAACGTTTTGTTTTTTCAGTCATGTGTATAATTATTGCACTAGTGTGCATCAGTCGAATCAGGTCCGCGGTGGAGGCCCCGCCCCGTCCAAACCTTCAAAGAAAACCCCTACACCGGGAGGAGCTCAGTTTGTGGGGCTGGAACTCTACAAGAGACTGAAGGAATTTCTCAAGAATTACCTTACAAATCTGCTAAAGGTAGATTAAAAGAATAGGCTCTGTTTGAAAGACTGGAGTCCGTATGGCTTTTTAATTCAAGTACAGTTTATCAAACAAGTTAATAAAAAAAATAGTAAGTATTAAAATGTTTTTGAAGATTTTTATGTGATTAGCAAAATTTTTATCATCATTACTCCAGTCTTTAATAACACGCGATCCGTCAAAGATAATTATGATATGCTGATTTGATGCTTAAAGGGGTGGTCCACTACGATATCATATGCTAAACTTTAGTTGATGCATAATATAACGGTGTGAACATAAACAACATCTCTGAATGTAATATGCTCAAAGCTCAACGCAAAGGGAGCAGTTGGCTTTTACAGAGTTAGCTTAGCAAAGCCTACAGAGAACCAAGTTTAGGAGCTACAAAAAAAAAATACATTCAGGCTGGTGAGAACAAAAACGCTTTAGGTTACCTGCATACACCATGCGCAGAGGTGCTGTAATGTTAAAGCAGTGAAAGCTAAAATGTCCAAACGTTGCTATTTCCATAGAGCATTTTCTGATTGTGTATTTGTGCTTCCGACACAAAGAGAAAAGTGCTTCAATTTAATTTTAATTATGTTCCAGGAAATTATAAAAAAAAAAAAAAAAAAAAAAAAATATATATATATATATATATATATATATATATATATATATATATATATATATATATATATATATAGCTAGCGTTAGACAAAGGAGAGCTTCCAGAATCTCTCAGTTCAGTGCTGGATTCAGTTGAAAACTCCTCAAAGAAGGAGCAGCTACAACCATAATAGGCGAAACTGTGGATTGTGAGTCACAACCTGTAAGTATTTTTATTTGTTTAAATTGATCTATTACATGCACAGTTTCTAGTGCTATCAGCATGTTGTAGCAAGGGCGTAAACAAGGATGTAAATAACAGGAAATGCTGTTTGGCACCGCTAACAATTTAGCTACAAATTCATATTTATTAGTCAAACCACTGTAAACACCCACAATTTTCACCAGCGCTGCAGTTCCTCTTTATGCATTCGCTTTCCCTGCATTCTAACGTTACAACTCATATAACGAACTCACAAAGGATATGTGAACGCTTCATATTACTTACACATGCTAATTCTAAATATATGTGTAAGACACTTGTCAGATTTTATTTTAGAGAGCAGGCGTGAGGTTTAGCTGTGTCCTCGGTGTCATTTTCTGTCTGATTCAGGCACAAACCAATACAGCTACTCTGACTGACAGTGTTTGTTTACACAGTGCAAAAGAGTGTGCTTGTAGGGGTGTGACTCTCTTCCTGGTGACAAGGAGCTGATCTATTATTCACAGCACATTATGTTAGCTGACCAATCAGAGCCTCTTGAGGCTTGGTTTTTGGAAGAACTAGGAAATATGAGTCTTTTTCATGTTAGCTGAGTTGCTGTAATTAAAGTAAGATATATGAAAAAAATTATGTGATTTTCTACAAATAAAGCATGAGCACACATTGCTTTTCATCTTCTAAACACAACCAAGCCTTAAATTACACTCTGAACCACCCCTTTAAGAGAAGTTTTGTATTGTAATCAGTATTAAATAGAGTTGTGGTGGTTAATATATATATTTTTTGACGAATAATAGTTCAGGATATAATCATTTGTAAAACATCATTTATTTTTAAAAGGTATTTTTCTATAGGAATGTGAATGTTTATCCAGTCGCCCTTTTCACTGTAATGCTTAAATGCTAATTTTGTTTATGTCTTTCAGAAAACATTTATTGAGACCAATCTTTTGAATGGTAGTGTGTTTAATGGAGCTTTTGAGAAATCCAATTGTACTTCAAAGCAATTACAGTCAAATGATTCTCACACAAAAATAAACATTTGATGCAAATTTATGCACCTTCAATGCATCCCTAGTGGACATTTTTTATCATCAGTAAAATATTAACGAAGATTTTTAGTTGAACCTGTAAAGTGCAACAGCTACTGGCACTTTGAGAGTGTGAAAAACACATACAACACAAACAAAATTAATACACTTGGTTCCTGGTTGATACATTAAGGCAGGGGTATCCAAACTCAGTCCTGGAGGGCCAGTGTCCTGCATATTTTAGTTCCAACCCCAATCAATCACACTTGAACCAGCTAATCAAGCTCTTTCTAGGTATACTAGAAACTTCCAGGGAGGTGTGTTGAAGGAAGTTGGAGCTAAACTATGCAGGACACTGGCCCACCAGGACTGAGTATGGACACCCCTGCATTAAGGTCTTAAAGCGATTAGTCTACAACAGACTAACCTTATTTACAACACAATTACACTAATCCACAGTCTTGAGTGTTCACGACAGTCTGGAGCGCAAGTTTCTATGCCATGATGTACATTTGGGTGCAAATGTGCACATGCTGATGCTGTTTCTGTACAGTATAAAGAAAGATGTATGCATTGTTGTAAGTGTACATACTTGTTGGCGTATACATTTGCACCCATGCATAAATTGTGCATTGGGAAGCTTGCGCTCAGGATTGTTTATCAAGGCCATTATAGACCAGTTGTACCTAAAAGATTGCTTTAGGAAACACTGGTTTAACGTGAACCCCCAGTGAACAGACAAAATATTTGTCTGTTGTGGTCAGGATGGAGAGGATCTGATGGATGAGAGTGTTCTGAAGTTCTACACGCAGCAGTGGGAGGATTACCGGTTCTCCAGTAAAGTACTCAACGGGATCTGCGCTTACCTCAACCGCCACTGGGTGCGCAGGGAGTGTGACGAGGGCCGCAAAGGCATCTATGAAATCTATTCTGTAAGCAATTCCTACTCCATCATTACAATGTAATTTCAGTTTATATTGTATTGTAATTTTAAAAAAATCTTTTGTTTCAGCTGGCTTTGGTGACGTGGAGAGAATGTTTGTTTCGGCCTTTGAATAAGCAGGTAAGACTGGAAACACCATGTCATATTGTCATAATCAGCTATTTTTGATATCAGTTCATGCTTTAATTGTGCAATTATATGCTTTAAAGTAATATAATCTTAAATCCCTTTTTTAAAAAGGTAAGTTGTTTTTAATGACTTTTTAGGTTACTCTGTTATTTTGTTGTTTTTTTGTTGTTGTTTTTTTGAAGATTTAGATAGACTTTTAATATATTACTTTTTAAAGTAACTGTACCCAACACTGACCCATGCCAGTGGTTCCCAAAGTGGGGGTTGCGGGACAATGAGAGGGGTCACTTGGGGTCACACCCGATTCTACTGAGTGGTACGGTTCTGTACGCTTTTATGGCCGTATCCACAGTCAAAAGTATATATTATTATCAATATATATATTATTACACCATAGTAATATATGCATAAGATAACGAGCAGTGGTCAACCCGAGCTTAAACAAACCTTGTCGTCGTCTTGATGAACAGCCACAAAGCTGAGAAGAACAGCAGAATCCACCCTGTGCCCTGTAGTTTACAAGTCTCAAGCGCGAGCAGTTTTACTTTCTCGAGAGAGCTTGCATGTGCGACTATATTTGAAAGAACAAACTCCTTGGGCTGATGATAATAACGTGCCCGTGATTATTATAGTGCTTCTGACATCGTTTCAGAAACAGAAAAACACTTGAGTGAAGTACGAAAAACAAAGGAGCAAATGATTCTTTCAGCAACCTAAAACATAAAAAAACTGCCGTGTATAACTTATCATTGCCTTTAGGACTATTATGAACTTGGAATGATGGAATTACTTTTTAATAAGAGATTACATGTGCTGGTGAAGATTAAATATGCAGATGAGAGGTCTGCACTGACTGTGGGCTAGGCTATATGTTGTGTGTTTTTGAAGCCAAATAAGGACTAAATGTATGCTGTGTGTAGTTTTTTTGTAATTTGTAACATCGGAGACTGTAAGCATTGCATTTATTTGTTTATTTTATATAATTGCAGACGTTACAGTAGGCTGATTTGCTTTTATTGATCTGCAGTTGTTATTAAATCATGTTTACAGAAAGATTAGTAATGAACATTAAAACACAAGTATCTGTTTTGTGAGAAGTGCTTTTCCTATGATATGTGAATGACCTGTACAGCTGTACTTTGATATATCCTCGAGCGAGAATGACGTCGACTGAAACTTTGTCGTAGACCACGCCCACCAAAAGCGTACAATTACCATATTTTATCAATAACCTACAGAATATAAAAAAGGATTTAATAGTTACATAGTTAATAGTTTAATAGTTAACATAAAAAAAATCCATGAGCCTTTTGATTATTATTATTATTTTTTCCCCATTGGATTGCGTCACCTGAGGTGACCTGATTGTGACAATAGATTAAAGACTGATTGCATTTTTAAAAGCAGATTGATTTTTACACCGTGTTGCCAGATATAACTGATTTTTTCCAGTCCAAAAGCATTCCAAAAAGTTTTTTATTTTTATTTTTTTTACGTATTTAAATCGGAAATGATCCTAGTTTCTTTTATTGTCATAGTTTTTTTAACCATACAGGAACCAACACCAGCAGTCGCAGAACCACAATAGTAAAATTACAACATAACCGGACCACATCGAAACACTGCGCCCCTCTCTCACCCTTTACACTGCACTTATTGTTACTTAGTTGATCTTAATAACTTGCACACTATTTAACTAACTCTAGTTAAAGAATTAATCAAGGACTCCTTTAAAGTGAATATTTATTTTGGTTTCTTTGCTTTATAGGTCACAAATGCAGTATTGAAGCTGATTGAGAAGGAAAGGAATGGAGAAACCATTAACACTAGGCTCATCAGTGGAGTGGTTCAGTCCTATGGTATTGCAGATTTTATTTGTTGGTTTGTTCGAGTGTGTGCTTAGATGCAGTGTGGCTCACTGTTTCTCTCCGTCACTCCAGTTGAGTTGGGTCTTAATGAGGATGATGCCTTTGCTAAAGGGCCGACTCTGTCTGTCTACAAGGAGTACTTTGAGACTCAGTTTCTGGCCGACACCGAACGCTTTTACACCAGGGAAAGCACAGAGTTCCTGCAACAGAATCCTGTTACTGAGTACATGAAAAAGGTGAGGCCTCAATTGCTGGACATGCTTAAAATAAATTATTGAATGCTGTGCACTTTTATAAATGTAAAGGTGGTTTGTGATCATTTGTTTGTTGTAAATAGGCTCCCTCTTGTGGTGAAAATTACATACTGTGGTTTTAATTTATGGCACAATTTATGTTGAGGATCAATTGTTTTGCACTTTCCATGCAAACGATTGAAAGTCAATATAAAAAGTATTTTAAAATATTATAGAAATATAATGATGCATCATATAACTCAATATACCTCCCAGCCTTATATCAAACTATTGTGTGCATTTTGCAGGCTGAGGCTCGTCTTCTGGAGGAGCAGAGAAGGGTGCAGGTTTACCTCCATGAAAGCACACAGGATGAG